ATATATCTATCTGATATCTTCAATAAAAATTTAATTATTTATCAATTATAATTGAAAAACAATAAATTTATCTATCAAGTCTGTTATATGGTATAAGTACTAAATATTGTAATATAGTACTAAATATTGTAATATAATACCGTCGAATTTGACAATTGAGGCGTATCATTTTAAATAAAAATAATAATGTTATTACGTAAGAATTATTTAAAATTTAAAATAAAAGCTTGTATTTATATTTTAACACATATTAAATATTAAATTTTAATTAACACATATTCACTATATGAATTGTGTAGTTAGCCCCTAAAAATGCCGTTGGAGGGGAGAAAAGTGTTTTAAAAGACTTCAAATTATTTCGACGTGGGAGTAACAATGTCACATAGGATTCAATAGATGAGTTAAAATATTTGTTTACTTATAGCGTGTGCTGATGTAGCACATAATATAGTTCGGGTGAGCCGATCAAAGTAATCCCGAGTTAAGGGGTCTCAGACAGGTCGAACAAGTGCGCGATTCACACCTCGGTAGCTAGGACTTATTAGACGTGTCTGTAGCGTCGACATGTTGTAGCTTGGACTTACTGAACGTGTTCGTAGCTCAGACACAGTTCAACTCTGAAATACGACTGAGGCATCATGTACTAAAGTAGCTTGGACCTACAAGATGTGTGTAGCTCGGACATAGTACAACTCGGACACGTGACATAGGCTGTGTTTGTAGCTCGGACATTAGACAACTCAGACACGTGACTGAGGATGTGTCTATAGCTTAGACCTATGACAACTAGAATATAATAACAGAAAAATAGCTCGGACCTTTGACAATGGGATGTCTGGAAGTCAGGTAGCTCAGATAAATAATAGCTCGGTCGTGGGTCAACACCGTAGGTTGAGGTCAGGTTGTTAACAAGGGACACGTATGAGGTCATAAACAAAAGGGGTATACGATATGACAGATAACAATGGAGCTCGGGCATACCGACGGGTAGCCAAGTAACCGACGAGCAGCCCATCAGGAAATCTGGGCGCTCGAGCAGGCATTCGAGTAGCCAGGTAGGCAAAGCTTGTTCAAGAAGCCAATAATTCACTATAAATGTGTAAGATTTGGAAAAAAAAAGTTAAAGGTTAATCACACTCTACACTCTAAATTTTACAATACATTTCTATACAGCTTTCCATAGCCCTTTACGGATATGATCGTCAGAGGTTTAACGCCAGGAACACCTCCCAGTGTCTTTGTAGGTCTCTGGGGAGCAATTTGGTCAAAGGATCGTTGGAATGCCGATTGGAGGTGCGAGAGCACATCAATTGGCGTCGTCCGTGAGACTTGCTGTTTCTCTACTAGTTGCAAATCGAGGAACGTAAGATGGAAAAGATGACTATGGCGGACAAGAGTTGAAGGAAGAACTTGGACGAGGTGTGGGAGGCTAAAACACCTTTTGGAGTTGGGGGAGGGGGGCGAGCAAGTGATAAGCTAACCAGAGGGCAGTTGGACCGAATCATCGTGGAGGCGATCGGTAGGTCGAGGGTGTCTCAGCCTCATCCGGTGGTGGAGTAGCCAGCTGCAGCGGTTGATCAACCTATGGGAAGGTTTCAACATACTAACCTTGTGGTGGAGCAGCACATTCTGGTAACCTCTAAACCGACAATGCGCGGAAGTAGAGGTGAGAGAACGGCGAGGAGAAGTCCATCGTGTCGTTGATGGTTAACAGATCACCACGAGAATTAACTATAGAGTGCATGACCAACAAATTTGGGAGCTCCAAGCTAAGGTGGAGGGTCGACGGTGGCCGAGGGTGCATGGCCATCTTTTCTCTAATGATTTTCTGGACCCAGATCCCCCTCTAAATATTTTAGAGTCATGCATGGTCTATGATGGGTCTAAAGATCCATCTAGGCACTTGAGGAGCTTCGAAAATGTGTGGGTACTTCACAGATACAGTGAAGTCGTTGTTGTATGCTTTTCTGACGATGCTTATAGGGCTTCGATCAAGAATGGTTCCACAACTACCAATGTATAGCTTTGACATGTTTAGCTCTTTTTTCATAATCTTTGACGTGTTTAGCTCTTTGTTCATCAACCAATTTTTCTAGTGCAAGGAAACATGAAATGACTTACCTCAGGTTGATCAACATACTGCAATGTGAAAATGAATCACTAAGGCGATATGTAGATAGGTATGCACGAGCTTGCATGGTGGTCCCTTCAGTGTAAGTGGAAATCAAGTTCAAGGTCTTACACGAGGTCTCAGACTAGGTCATTGTCGAAACTACCTAGCTAAGAGACGCGCGAGGTCATATGATGAGCTGTTGGAGCGTTGCACCAAATATATGAACATGAAGGAAACCAAAGCGGACTTTCTGCAAAATGATCGAGCTAAGGGAAAACTCAATGAAGAGAAACAGAGACCTGACAATAGGAGGTCGGGGGAAAAAATATGTTAGGAGTGACGACAATGGACGTATGAGTTTAAGTATGAGCATTGCACACCATTGACATTTCTTAAACTCAAGTTTATGGGACCTCAAAAAAGAGGGGTGACACGAAAATGTCGAGAAAGGCTCAACCCCTACTTAAGAGGAAGAGGCAGGTCCCGGTGCAAGCAGATCTTTATTGTAGGTACCACCATAACTATGGTCAGTGGACCAACAACTGTAAGGAGCTCAAGGACGATATAGAAAGACTTATACGCCTAGGTCATTTAAAGGAGTTTGTGGTTAAGGATAAGGATAAGAAAGAAGAATAAGAGGTAG